TGTTTAATGCAGGCTAATATCGCCTCACAGACCATTAAAGACTCAAATGATTATTATAGATCTGGGTTAATGATTTGGATTTGTTTCCCAAGGGGAAATCAACACACACTCAAAACAACATCCTGCTTATTGATAGGCATGGAGTAATATATAAGAACCACATCTGTTAGGGTGTGTCACCTTATTGATCTGTCTGGAATTGAGATAATATTAGCTATTTTCTAATTATGTCCATGTCTCAGACATGACCTTGAGTCAACTAACAAGATCATTTAGCAAAAGTAATAGTTTGGTGAACTGAAAATGTTGATTTGGGTTTTAGTTCCATTGTTTTTACAATTGTTGAAGTATGAGAAACTTGCCATGAGAAAATGGTTATGGTGAATGATCCGATTGGGTTCTCATGAAAAAATGGTTATTGCGATGGGGTTCTCACTTGCACCATAACATTGATGATGAAGAGCTTTTCCTGCAAAAGGCTTCTCATACATCCTGGCAAACTAGTTTGAAGCAGGAACTTGCTTTTAAATTTGATCATGAATCCTGCGGACCTGGGTTCAAATAAATGTGTATTTGAGTATCTGGTATTTTAAATACTTTTTTTCTGTGTGTATGAGTATTTTCAAATGCACAGCTCAAAACAAGTACTTTTATTTGAAGATTTGAATGGTTATTTGTAAAAACCAAATAGTTTTCCAAAATTGTATTTGAGAATATTTTCAAATATTTATTTCAAATATTATTTTGGGTTAAATGCATGGGAGTGTATTTCCAAATCAAAATCAAATTATTAAACTACTTGTCTTTTCAAAAAAATATATCTGAATACTTACTTTGAATGTATGTGAAAGTAATTTATATATTTGAAATAGTATTTGAACCCAGGTCTGGAATCCTGCAAGCCAAGCTATTCAATTGTTGTTGTTCTCTTAGTACAAGGATATTCAACCTGGGCTCCGCGGCTGGCTAGGCGTCCACTGAGGTACTGCAGGGAATATTGGAAATATTTATTTCAATGTTTTTATGAATTGCTGGAAACAACAGAATAAACACATTTTGAATTACATACCTACAGTAGAAAAGAGGGAGAATATCTTCTTTCTAGTGATGTCAACTTTATATATCAATTCCTAATATTGAGATAATTACAATCACTGGAGTATCTGACATACAGATGTAGGATCTTAATTTGAGCCAGTTTTCTACAGCAGGCAAATAACAGGACATTTGAATTATTATGTGGATTATAATTAATGGATATTTTTTATAGGGGTTGATACATTTTACGTTAGGGCAAATCAAGTCTGACATTTTAAAGTGGAAATTGCAAACTTTGGAAGCCGTTTGAAACATTGGATACACTACAAATTTGCATTCTCATCAACAAAATAGTGATCAAATTAAGATCCTACATCTGTAGGCTTTGAAAAAGCACCCACGAGTACGCTACCAGTCATGGCAAGTGCCACTGGCTGCTGGTAAGCTTTCAGGACCATTCTTTTGCCAATACATGGCTAACCTTTGTTTAAACAGCTAAACAGCTGCTCTTAGCAAAAAATTGAGTTACTTTTCTAGCTAATAGGCTATGTTAGAGTTTACACTTCCTCTTCCATTTATAATGTCGGGAGGTTAAAATATTGGAAAACTATCTACCAAATCTATTCGTTTTAAAATTACGATAAATTTTGCTAGCCATTATCATTCACCTGATGAGTCAACATATGATGGGGGTCCCTGGGTCTCCGATTTGCCTGGGCGGGGGTCCCTGGGTCTCCGATTTGCCTGGGCGGGGGTCCCTGGGCAAAAAAAGGCTGAAGACCCCTGATTTAGTCTATTATTTTCCGACTATTATTACACCGCAGACAAAGTGACCACCACATTGAAGAAACCCTGCACTGACCATTGGGTTCAGGGGTTGGTGTTGGGGTGATGGGGCTGGAGCTGTTTTGTCTTTTCAAAGGCACTGTCTTTGTAAGGGGTCTTATAAAAACGAGAAAACCCTGGAGGTAAGAGTGGGGGGAAATGGATTGTCCACTCCTTTTCTCTTTCTTAACTGGGAAACCATAAAGACAACAGAAGTTCAGAGGATCCCTGACTATAAACACTGCCTAGAGGGACAAAGGCCTCCAGGTCAGAGGTCACACTGGCCATGTCAGAGGTCACACTGGCCAAAAACTTTGAGAAATGCTAAACGATGTGTCAGCTAGGGCCAAACCTGGCTAGCCTGGCTGGCTGCAAAGAAAAGTCTTATCGAGGGGAAGGGAAGAAGGACGAGTCTTAAGTTGACAAATGGCTTTACATTTTCCTTCCTCTCTTTCCTTCTCTTTCCACTAAATGATTTCCATCTGGACAGGGAGGGTATCAGCAGGGCCTGAGAGCCTTGGGCCACAACACTGACTCCTGTGAACTATTTACAGGTCCACAATAGGAGAGACTGGGTGGTTCTGGTCTGCGATTATACATGGTGGACTGACCATATAAGGTCATAGAGGTTACCATTGAACAACATGCACCAAAATAGAAGTCTTCCTAACTAACAGGTTCAACTTCAAGTTCATCCATATAACAGTAAACTTAGTAGTATGTACTGCTTCTTAATCTGTTAACTAAGTATTGGTTGTATTCGCATGATTGCTTTGTGAAGCCTGTAAATACCTCAGGAGCCTGCGGTAACCTGATGGGAGCAGATGGGATAGTGTGTCTAGAAAATGAACCATGAAGATTACGAGCTCTACATGAAAACAATACAAACTGTATAGTCCGTTATTTGCATTGGTAAGCCTGTGCTGTGATCAGGAACGTGTGCGTCATGTTTGTGTCATTGTGTCTCCAAGGAATTTTGGGAGACATTATTTGTTTTCACAATTTCACGACTAGATACAACCCTCTAAAACACGTATCCTACAGAGGCAGGCTGTATTACTGTGTTAAGGTGGAATATAATTTTGGGAGAAAAATGTCAGTGGGTGGCGGCCTTTTGGATACACATGACACAACTGCACTGTAAGAGCCAGCTTCATCGTTTCTATATGTAATATCCATCCCTTAGCCTGTGTGCCTGTCTTTCTAGTGATGTCCTTTAGGAAGGCTTGCTTGTTTGACCTGTATTCTAAGTTACTTGGCCAAAACGAGCCTAAGAGAACTCCTACAGAATAGGATTTGTTTTAGGCCCTTTGGGTCATATACACAGCTGAGCTCAGACACCAGACCAAAATCTGGTGGAAGGAACTGAACATATCAAGGTTAGGTTGCCAGTCAATATCTGTTTGGTTAAGAGACTCAGCTGATAGAGGTCAGCTGACTACAATCGGCAGGCTGTCTCGAGGTCCACAGCTGCCTGAACTAATGTTGCACAATCTTCACTCATCTTCACTAAAGGAAAGTACAGTAAAGTACAGTCAAGCAAAGTACAGTAAAGCAAAGTACAGTCAAGTAAAGTCAAGTCAAGTACAATAAAGTCAAGTACAGTCAAGTAAAGTAAAGTACAGTCAAGTAAAGTACAGTCAAGTAAAGTACAGTAAAGTAAAGTAAAGTAGAGTAAGGTAACACAAGGTAAAGTCAAGTGAAGTAAAAGTATCATTATCAGTATCATTATCAGTAGCATTATCAGTAGCATTATCAGTAGCATTATCAGTAGCATTGTCAGTAGCATTATCAGTAGCATTATCAGTAACATTATCAGTATCAGTAAAAGTATTAGTAAAAGTGTCTACCATTCATCTAATACATGTATATCAATACAAGAGAAATCAACAGGCACTTCTGTGCCTTTTTCTTTTGTTGTTTTTCCACTTAAATGCTAATTAGGGTGAGTTAATGAGTGAAGCGAGGAGCTGAGTGTGGAGCTGTTTGCATGGTGCCAATGTGTCTAATTGAGCTTTGGCAGGTTGTTTGACGTGATGCCAGGCTGAGGTTGCATGGATGGGAGCTAACAGTGGCTTGTGTTTCACAGCAGTCCCATCTAGATAAGATGTGGGAGATGTAATTACAATGTGTTACTGGGCTTATTAGTGTCTGTTTATTGTTAAGTCTCTCCTGGCCCATAGACTAATGTCAGGGTAAAGAACCATGTAAAGATAAGGTCTAAAATGAACGTATCCTTCAATGCTGTCCTTCTAGCCCTCAGCAGAATGGTAGGTCTACAGAAACCTTCCCTCCCATCCCCCCCTGTCCTCTTCAGCCCCCTCGGTGCCTCTGTGACAGGGAGAGGCCAAACGCTGTGTGTGGCATCCAGACACTACTGGCCCTGGCCCCCTGTCACAGCTATCACTCTGGGCCACAGCCTCATGAATGGGGCTGGGGCATCCCATCCGTCTGATCACCAAGCCAGGATCACTTTCCAATCGTCACTTTAAAGTCCACTAGTCTAGGACACATTTCTACTGCAGGAAAGCATGGATCGTTTCAAGCCATTACAAAACAATGTTTGTTTATATTTGAGGGTGAAAGGGAAACCGATGCAGAAAATAAAGCAGCCCAGTCAATCATAGTCACTGAATTAATGTCCGCATAAAAAAAATGCCAAGTCATCAGATCAATAGACAATATGACTGTTTCCATTATATTCAAATTGGTTTATTTGGAATATCTTGCATCAGCAAAACATCCAATTGGCAAAATTGATGCAAATGCTGTCCATCCCAAGTATATGCAATGCTAAAAGAGGGGATAGCTGAGATCAATGTGTATGAATCTAAGTAGTGGTTCACAGCCACATTCTTCTGCCAGTTCTCCCAACAACACAGACTGACCTCTCTCTCCCACTGTTCCCATGGAAGTGGTATAGAGAGAGAGAAAGAGAACGAGAGAATGAGAGAGAAAGTGATACTGGTGTCCTGTCAGTATATTACATGGCTACTGGTGTCCTGTCAGTATGTTACATGGCTACTGGTGTCCTGTCAGTATATTAAATGGATACTGATGTCCTGTCAGTATATTACATGGCTACTGGTGTCCTGTCAGTATGTTACATGGCTACTGGTGTCCTGTCAGTATATTAAATGGATACTGGTGTCCTGTCAGTATATTACATGGCTACTGGTGTCCTGTCAGTATATTACATGGCTACTGGTGTCCTGTCAGTATATTACATGGCTACTGGTGTCCTGTCAGTATATTACATGGCTACTGGTGTCCTGTCTGTATATTACATGGCTAGTGGTGTCCTGTCAGTATATTACATGGCTAGTGGTGTCCTGTCAGTATATTACATGGCTAGTGGTGTCCTGTCAGTATATTACATGGCTAGTGGTGTCCTGTCAGTATATTACATGGCTACTGGTGTCCTGTCAGTATATTACATGGCTACTGGTGTCCTGTCAGTATATTACATGGCTACTGGTGTCCTGTCAGTATATTACATGGCTACTGGTGTCCTGTCTGTATATTACATGGCTAGTGGTGTCCTGTCAGTATATTACATGGCTAGTGGTGTCCTGTCAGTATATTACATGGCTAATGGTGTCCTGTCAGTATATTACATGGTTACTGGTGTCCTGTCAGTATATTTCATGTCCACTGGTGTCCTGTCAGTATATTAAATGGATACTGGTGTCCTGTCAGTATATTACATGGCTACTGGTGTCCTCTCAGCATATTACATGGCTACTGGTGTCCTGTCAGCATATTACATGGTTACTGGTGTCCTGTCAGTATATTTCATGTCCACTGGTGTCCTGTCAATATATTAAATGGCTACTAGTGTCCTGTCAATATATTTTATTGGTTACTGGTGTCCTGTCAGTATATTACATGGCCACTGGTGTCCTGTCAGTATATTACATGGATACTGGTGTCCTGTCAGTATGTTACATGGCTACTGGTGTCTTGACAGTATATTAAATGGCTACTGGTGTCCTGTCAGTATTTTACATGGATACTGGTGTCCTGTCAGTATATGACATGGATACTGGTGTCCTGTCAGTATTTTAGATGGCTACTGGTGTCCTGTCAGTATATTTCATGGCTACTGGTGTCCTGTCAGTATATTACATGGATACTGGTGTCCTGTCAGTATATTACATGGATACTCGTGTCCTGTTAGTATTTTACATGGATACTGGTGTCCTGTCAGTATCTTACATGGCTAATGGTGTTGTGTCAGCATATTACATGGCTACTGGTGTCCTGTTAGTATATTAAATGGATACTGGTGTCTTGTCAGTATGTTACATGGATACTGGTGTCCTGTCAGTATATTACATGGTTACTGGTGTCCTCTAAGTATATTACATGGATACTGGTGTCCTGTCAGTATATTACATGGCTACTGGTGTCTTGTCAGTATATTACATGGCTATTTGTGTCTTGTCTGTATATTACATGGCTACTGGTGTCCTGTATCTATATTTCATGTCTACTGGTGTCCTGTCTCTATATACTACATGGATACTGGTGTACTGTCAGTATATTACATGGATACTGGTGTCCTGTCAGTATATTAAATGGATACTGGTGTCCTGTCAGTATATTACATGGATACTGGTGTCCTGTCAGTATATTACATGGATACTGGTGTCCTGTCAGTATATTACATGGATACTGGTGTCCTGTCAGTATATTAAATGGATACTGGTGTCCTGTCAGTATATTAAATGGATACTGGTGTCCTGTCAGTATATTACGTAGCTACTGGTGTCCTGTCAGTATATTACATGGCTACTGGTGTCCTGTCAGTATATTACATGGTTACTGGTGTCCTGTCAGTATATTACATGGTTACTGGTGTCCTGTCAGTATATTTCATGTCCACTGGTGTCCTGTCAGTATATTACCTGGCTACTGGTGTCCTGTCAGTATTTTACATGGCTACTGGTGTCTTGTCAGTTTATTACATGGTTACTGGTGTCCTGTCAGTATATTACATGGTTACTGGTGTCCTGTCAGTATATTTCATGTCCACTGGTGTCCTGTCAATATATTAAATGGCTACTAGTGTCCTGTCAATATATTTTATTGGTTACTGGTGTCCTGTCAGTATATTACATGGCCACTGGTGTCCTGTCAGTATATTACATGGATACTGGTGTCCTGTCAGTATGTTACATGGCTACTGGTGTCTTGACAGTATATTAAATGGCTACTGGTGTCCTGTCAGTATTTTACATGGATACTGGTGTCCTGTCAGTATATTACATGGCTACTGGTGTCCTGTCAGTATATTACATGGATACTGGTGTCCTGTCAGTATATGACATGGATACTGGTGTCCTGTCAGTATTTTAGATGGCTACTGGTGTCCTGTCAGTATATTTCATGGCTACTGGTGTCCTGTCAGTATATTACATGGATACTGGTGTCCTGTCAATATATTACATGGATACTCGTGTCCTGTTAGTATTTTACATGGATACTGGTGTCCTGTCAGTATCTTACATGGCTAATGGTGTTGTGTCAGCATATTACATGGCTACTGGTGTCCTGTTAGTATATTAAATGGATACTGGTGTCTTGTCAGTATGTTACATGGATACTGGTGTCCTGTCAGTATATTACATGGATACTGGTGTCCTGTCAGTATATTACATGGCTACTGGTGTCTTGTCAGTATATTACATGGCTATTTGTGTCTTGTCTGTATATTACATGGCTACTGGTGTCCTGTCAGTATATTAAATGGATACTGGTGTCCTGTCAGTATGTTACATGGATACTGGTGTCCTGTCAGTATATTACATGGCTAGTGGTGTCCTGTCAGTATATTTCATGGCTTCTGGTGTCCTGTCAGTATATTACATGGCTACTGGTGTCCTGTATCTATATTTCATGTCTACTGGTGTCCTGTCTCTATATACTACATGGATACTGGTGTACTGTCAGTATATTACATGGATACTGGTGTCCTGTCAGTATATTAAATGGATACTGGTGTCCTGTCAGTATATTAAATGGATACTGGTGTCCTGTCAGTATATTAAATGGATACTGGTGTCCTGTCAGTATGTTACATGGATACTGGTGTCCTGTCAGTATATTACATGGCTAGTGGTGTCCTGTATCTATATTTCATGTCTACTGGTGTCCTGTCAGTATATTACATGGCTACTGGTGTCTTGTCTGTATATTAAATGGCTACTGGTGTCTTGTCAGTATATTAAATGTCTACTGGTGTCCTGTCAGTATCTTACATGGCTACTGGTGTCTTGTCTGTATATTAAATGGCTACTGGTGTCTTGTCAGTATATTAAATGGCTACTGGTGTCCTGTCAGTATATTTCATGGCTACTGGTGTCCTCTCAGTATATTACATGGATACTGGTGTCCTCTCAGTATATTACATGGCTACTGTTGTCCTGTCAGTATATTACTTGGATACTGGTGTCCTGTCTGTATATTACATGGATACTGGTGTCTTGTCAGTATATTAAATGGATACTGGTGTCCTGTCAGTATGTTACATGGATACTGGTGTCCTGTCAGTATATTAAATGGATACTGGTGTCCTCTCAGTATATTACATGGATACTGGTGTCTTGTCAGTATATTAAATGGATACTGGTGTCCTGTCAGTATGTTACATGGATACTGGTGTCCTGTCTGTATATTACATGGCTACTGGTGTCTTGTCTGTATATTACATGGCTACTGGTGTCTGTTCTATCACACTGTTAGTGTTGTTATTGAACAGTCATCTTACTTTAGCTAGTTTATACAACGGGTGGGTCTAATTCTGGACGCTGATTTGTTAAAACCACATTCCAGCTAGTTTGAGACCACTTGAGGAATAATAAGATATGCCATTTAGCAGACTCTTTTATCCAGAGTGACTTACAGTCATGCGTGCATACATTTTATGTATTGGTGGTCCCGGGAATTGAACCCACTATCCTTGCATGCCCTAGCAACTGAGCTACAGAGGACTTCTGGAATGTTAGTGAAACACCTTCACCCAGGTAAAGTTTCTGGTCTAACTACGGTACCATTTGCTGTTGTATACTGTTAAACAAGAGATCATTTGCAGTCAGTAACCAACTGTTGACATATACATTCCTTTGCAGGGCCTGCTAATAATGTAATCATTAAACCCTGACCTCTGTTTAAAGTGGACCACCTCACGTCCATGATGACTTTAGCTGTTGTGTGTAAAATACTGCAGCAGCCTGAACAGAGTTGTAAATATCACCTAGGACGGGCTGGACCGATGGCCCATAAAACAGGGTGTTCCTCCCCAATGGAGCCCTATTCCCGATATATTGCACTACTTTTGAGCAGAGCCCAGTGCACTATAAGGGCAATGGGGTGGCATTTGGGACGCAGACAGTGTAAGGCGATCGGTGCTGTTATTTTGACTCATAATGACTGATCCCAGGTGATTCCATGGACACCATCTGTTCTCAGGATCTTAGGCCCCTAACATCAATGCAGAGCAGTCAGAGAGCAGGTCAGAGAGAGAGAGAGAGAGAGAGAGAGAGAGAGAGAGAGAGAGAGAGAGAGAGAGAGAGAGAGAGAGAGAGAGAGAGAGAGAGGTCACTGTCTGCCCTGCTGTTTAGTTTTTTCTCTTCTCCTGCCTTTTGCTCTGTGATGTCGTGTCTGCACACAGATCAAGAGCCGAGGGGTTCGGTGAGGAAGTCCCAGAGGATGAATAACGTGTAGCTAGAATATGTTAGGTAGCACTATGGCCCAGAAGGCTCCACTTAGGGCCACTTCCTTTGTTATTAATGGGTGTGCTGTTTCTTGTTATTTTACGTAACTTATCACAGTTGAGATAAATCCTTGAAAATATAAATTATCTTATTTCTGGTGGATAACTATTGCTGGATAGTTTGACACTGGTAGATTTTGTGAATGTCTAGTCACATTATGCCACATATAAACTTCAGACAAGTAGTCCATGAATATGGATCATGCCTGAACAGGGCTATAGGGGATTGGGACCCTTTGTTAAAATACGAACAAACTTACTTCAAGCCACATACAATGAATCTGAGTTCAAAGTGATTGGGCTGGGAACTCCAGGATGGTTTCTTTCCTCCCCCAAAAGTTTGAAATGAAACAAAGCCATCTTCTAGATATATAGAATCTAGACAGAAGTTGAGGCCCTTAAATCCCCTGGGTCACTTTGTGACCAAGAAATCAAAACATTAGGAATGGAAAATAAATTACATTGTAAAACATATCATTTCTCAATAGTCATATTTGCATCACAGATCATTTGGTCAGAACATGCTCATCATTCATCATTCATTATGCTTATGACTCATGAGTCAAGTACTGTTATTATCAAACTCTTTATTAAGCATGAGTCATGAGTCAAGTACTGTATATTATCAAGATCTTTATTAAGCATGATTCATGAGTCAAGTACTGTATATTATCAAGCTCTTTATTAAGCATGATTCATGAGTCAAGTACTGTATATTATCAAGCTCTTTATTAAGCATGATGTATGAGTCAAGTACTGTATATTATCAAGATCTTTATTAAGCATGATTCATGAGTCAAGTACTGTATATTATCAAGCTCTTTATTAAGCATGATGTATGAGTCAAGTACTGTATATTATCAAGATCTTTATTAAGCATGATTCATGAGTCAAGTACTGTATATTATCAAGCTCTTTATTAAGCATGATGTATGAGTCATGTACTGTTATTATCAAGCTGTTTAGCAAGCATGATTCATGAGTTAAGTACTGTATATTATCAAGCTCTTTAGCAAGCATGATTCATGAATCATGTACTGTATATTATCAGGCTCTTTAGCAAGCATGATTCATGACTGAACATTGATTAAAAATAAATATATAGAGCAACAGAGTGCTTTGGCAAGGTTAATGTCCTAATTTAGTTGGAAAATGTAATTATTGAGAAATCAGCTAAAAGGAAAATGTATGAGTGTTAATGATTTGTAGATGAAATTGTGGTTGAAAATGGATGAGTGTGGATGAGTGTAAGTCTGTCGTAAACTCAGACTGAACCATGATTCAAACACTCTCTGATTCACTTGAATAGTCTGAATGTGCATATGTTGGCCAACAAACACTCTTTGAAGATGTATATAGGCTACTCTGGGGTCAGATTAATTAGGTTAACATTTTGCATTTTGGTCACCACAATGAAGCGTACTATTTGAATTGCCGTCCATGACTGATAAAGTGCTGTGATAACCAGCAACATAAATGTTTTCTCATGTCTCTTTTGGCTCCCTGTCTCTTGACGTGAAAAAAATCTTAAACACTGCTATGGTGTAGTCAGATAAATAGTACTTGAAGAACCAGTCAGTCTTTCTAAACAAAACAATCTTTTGATTAGTCATTCTAAACAGGACCTCCATGTTAGTTCTGTTGTGGCCCTGTTCCGTTGTGGGGTTCCTACGTGCCTAGAAAATTAGATTGATGACTGCATAATTCCTTTCTAATTGGCATCAAATGTTCTAATTTCCCATCTGCTCCTTTGGCTGACAACATAAACAACATTCCAGAAAAAGGAGAGAGAGAACAGAGAGAACAGTGACAGGGCCTTAATGGAGGAGAGGATTGGAGTAGAGGAACGGCCTTAGCTGCTGATCGATCAGGCCAGGAGAACACAGACCCTATTCATCACTACAGTATGTTTAAACACAAACCCCTTTGGGTGCAACTCCTTTTCGAGTCAAACCAAATCATCTTTATTTGAGTGGATAGTGTCTAACTAAACTCTCGCTAAGAAGACCTGTGGAGTCCAAGTCCCTAAGTATATTTCCAAACTCAAATGGTCGAAGCCACACAGTAGCCCATCCTGGCTGCTTCTGCTCTCTCTGGTCGCTGAAGGAAACTTTGCGTTCCTTACGCTCCACTTGGCCTTCCGGTGTCTAAAGCATTTAATGTTGCTGCTCGGTTGCTGGTGTGGCCACAGAGCTGCTCTGGTGGAGGCCCCTATTGTCTCCAGGTTTTCCTCTCGTTAGCACCCTTGGCCTCTCATTGTCTAGCCCCCTCTGTGTCAGGTCGGGTCGGGTCCGGTGCAGACCTCCGCCGCACAGAGGACCCCCTTCTCTCCCTTTTGCGGATCACTAAACAGGACAATTTCTCTATCCATCTTTTCATTATGGGCCATTGTGGCAACACCCTGGGTTGAGAACGGTTTTCTTTCACTGGGAAACCTCTTTCTCCTCTTTATCCTCCTCCTTAAGGTTAAGAAAGAAAACGAAGCAAACCCCCAGACTATGTGTCTCTCTTTTGGGAAGCCCTTATCCATTTTTTTTATGCCCAGACTTGATATCCATGACATGAAGAGTATTCAGCAGCACATCAAAGCACCTGATAGACCGGCAGCCAGAGAGAGCGACGTTCCCTCGGACGGACAGAACAGTGGAATGGAAGAGGTGGATTGTGGGAAATTCTACCTCATTAACAGACTTTCATTAATGAAGGTCATAGAAGGTCTTGTGAAAAAGCTCAGGCTCAAGTTTGGTTTTTATTTTAGAAATAAGTTGTGTTTCTTTTAAAGCAAGAAAGGGAC